TTCTTTGTGTTCTCTCAAATCCTAAACTTTTTAATTCCTCATCACTTTATCATTTTCTTTTTAGGTTTAAAACACTAGATTCCATTTCTTGAATAATATATATTCTAACCCTAATCTCTCCGATTACTTCTAATACCTTTACCACCTCTACTTCTATCGGATTTGAATTGACAATTACATCTGTGTGCTAATGTGATATGGCAACTGATGTACGTTCGTACGAAGTTCTAAGTTGCTTTTGATTGATTGAAATTAGTAAACTGTCTTATGGAAGCTGATATTTTTGTGGCAACGAAAATAAAAATCTTGCCTTAATTAACATATTAAGTATTTTTCAATTCGAGTTATGGAGACTTGTGTGTTTTGCACATTGAAATCACCAATCAATCATTTTTAGACTACCATTGGAAACCTGGAAGCATTGGACGGCCATTTCATCCTGGTACGTGACCAGTGGAGTTGAACCCTGTCCGGTGTAGGCAGTAACAACTAAAGACAAATGGATGAGGTCGCGCAAAACCTGTAAATTGATCAGAGTTAGACATTAACACCGTCGCATGCTGGCCTAGTGGTCCAGAGGTTAGGCTTTTGCGCGCAAGACCGAAGGTTCTGGATGCGAATCATGCCAGGTGCAGGATTCGTGGATGCAAACTGCTGATGAGTCCCATTCCAGGACTTGACGGGCGTCGTGCTCTCTCAGGTGTCCAATGGTGGTGTAACAATGATTGATTGGTGATTTCAATACTAGGTATTGTTGTTTCTTTGAAATCTTTCCACAATCACATTTCGAAACAAGTAACATTAAGAAATTTGCATCAGCAGGAAAATGAATGTGATATGCAGTCATATAGTTTTTTCCACAATTACTCACACATATATGCAGGCACACTCACACACACAAAAACACACTGGGTTAGGCGGGAAAAACCACACAGTTGAATTATAATAGAATTTTTAACAGTGATATTAAAATGTGTAAGACTACTCATCAATCATACGGATGGTGATTTGAAAGATATTCGTT